GATTATTAAAATAATCGTTAGTTGCAGCCCTAGTTCGTACACTGAATTTGCTGGCTTTTCAAATCAAAAACGCCAGATTTTTTTCTTTTTTTTTATGTGTAAGAATTTTTTTGGGCCGTTTTGTAGTAAAAATAATGAGCACACTCAGAATGAAGCCATGCAGTGCGGATGTTTTGCTCTGAATCAGAAAAAATGACAGTTTTAAAGTGCAGATGCACAGTTCAGTCAGATCCGAGGCCACCCCTTGCACTTCCTGTTTACTACCTTTCTCGCCGTGTCGCTGTCGATGGGAAGTTGAATCAGCGGGCAGTGCAGCCAGCTGTGCGGCGAATCACGGGATGGGACCACTTCTGCACATCCAGAAGCRGGCACCTGTGGCACAGCTGGCACCTTCCTCAGAGCTCCAAACTGGGTTTGATTAGAAATACATCACTGCAGTCTGTGTCTGGCATCTGTCGCAGCCAATCAAATCAGTACCCTTCATTCCATTAAAAAAAAGTGCTCTGCAGCTTGACATAATGATGTTTTCCTAATGGCAAGGAAATTTCCAACTAGCTTGTCCYCTAGTGGAAACGGATGTTGTCTGGATGGCGCAGACACACACGAGATACGTTAAAGCTGAACACAGGCAATCAAAACTTCCCACAGAGAACAGATGGTGTCACAAAAACAATCCTTGCAGATCTGAAAGTGAACTTGTATTTTTTTTGCAATTTACACTGGAGAACACCAACCATGGCATCCAAAGTGTTACCAATTAAACTCACTAAAACAAGATGTGCTGTCTGGATTTCTCTAAGGTTGGCTCTGATAGTATTTTCTGTTGGTTATGATAAAACAATAATCGTTTAGATGAGGCACAATGACGCCGTCGTTGCAAATCTGCGCTGAGAAACAAGACAGAMGTAGACCTTCGACAAGTTAAATACAGTTTAAGTCACCCCCGCCCATCAGTGTGCTTCGTCACMGAGAGTTGCACACTCACAAAAGACACCAGTTTGTTCCCACTACTTTAAGAATCTGTAACCTTTATTGTCATGGCTAAATGAGTAGGCTGGTCATGTTGGTTTGATTTAATTAGTGAAAGCAGAACTATACCCTCTAGAAGAGCATCACCCGYTGATCTCCCCTGGTAGACACTCAGTTCTTGCTGCACTGAAGTGTGATTTTGATGCTTGATTGAGTCTCTGAGCGGTTGAGGACTTCATCAAGGTGAAACGGGCACGCTCTGCATGTTTAAAGGATGTGTGTCCATGCCRTCATTTGTAAGCAGTTTGTAGCAAATTGTAGCAATACGGCTATTGAGCTCAGCAATTTGTAAATGGTTAAAATGGATTTTAGGATATTTGCTGACCWATGACAATAGAAATACCTTTAGATTTTAGCATCTGTGTTTTTGAGCATGCACACTAAGTCTTGGTTTTTAAGGTTTTTTTTTTTACACATACTCTAAGTCAGGAGTGTCAAACTCATTTTCACCAAGGGCCATGTGAGCATTATGGTGGCTAGTTGTGATTAACTTTGATGTTTTGTATTTAACTTTGACTAAACATAAAGTGACACGTCCATCTCTGAGCACTGCTAGCAAACAATAACTGAGCTCTACATGGTATTTCCTGCATAGAAACAGCATATTAACATATCCTCATATAACCACTGAAAAGTACTAAGTGTACAACTGACTAAATGGGAATTCATAATACAGAAATGCTATTACTAGTAAAAGGAAGAGTTTTACTCACTGCTGAGTTGTGATGAGTAGCTGCCATCTTGAATTCTGAACTCAATCACTTTCCAACAGGGAATTCCCACTGTAGGAGGCGTTCCAGTTTAAATTTACAACTTTTAACTTTTTACATTGTTTGTCTTTAGTAAAAGTAAAATAAAAAAAAATGAAAATAATAATAACTAGACATGGGTTTTTACGATGTAAAAATAAGTGTGCATTGCAGCATGGCTTTGCC